TTTGGCAGACTGGAGAACCTCTGTTGGTGCTACAGGTGTAGCAGGTGGCTGCAGGACGGAGAGGAAGACAGGGGGGACACGAGGGTGAGTGGAGAGGGCCCCTCAGCTCAGGTATGCTTCATAGCTAATACCCCATAGCCAACACATCCCATCCCTTGGACTTGTCCCAAATCCTGGCTTCTGAGCTCCAGAAGAGGACAGGAAAGGCTGGAGGTCAGGAAGAGAATGGATGCTCCCAGCTGACCTGGGGTGTTGGCTGAGAAGCCCTGCCCAGCGTTGGTGGGAACCTCAAATCTCTACCTCACTTCAATTCTGGCTGTGCCTCACCATCCTTCCTTAGCCATGGGCAACCACCAGCCATACCAAATGTGAGCCAGTTTCTCTAAAGGCCTCGACCTCACTCTGTTTGGAACATTCCTAGAAGAGCCAGAGGCAGGAACTCCAGGAAAGAAAACGAGATAGTCCTCACTTCTCTACAACTGCGACAGAAACGCTATGCTGGGGTCTCAGCTCAAGCTCAGCACGTTCATGATATTCTCACATTTCCAGATAAGCCTGCTCCCACACTCCCCATGCCAGCGGATGTCAACACTGAGGAATCTAAGGATTCCTTCAGATCTCATTCCTGCCGCCAGCTGGTCACTAAGGCTGGTGAATTCTACCTTTGACCATGGAGACCATGGGGAGGGCACCCCAGAGGCGTGTTAACACTAGGCCAGCACTTTCCCATGCCTGCATGCCCTTCCTGGCTAGGTCCAGGCTGCCTTGTCTTCCACCCATTCCCTCCTCTGTGCCTGGGGGGTTGGGGTGAGGGGGAAGCGCTCCGTCCTTGTCCCATCAGTGTCTGGGATGCTGCTGGTCTTGCAGGGCTGGAAGACTGTGAGGTGTACTATGCAGTCCACAGGGGCCCACAGTCCAGGTGAGAAGCACTATTGCCCACGGAGATCACTCACACCAAGCCCAGATGAGCGGCCCAGATGATGGGCTTGGGGAAGGGAGCTGAGTGAGGGGCCTAGCCAAGAAGCAGGGGCTAGAGATCACTTAAAAGGGAAGCAACATTTGTTAAGCATGCCTGGCACTGGCAGAATATATGTCATTAAGGACAAGGCATTGGTGCCAGGAAGACGTGGGTTTGAGACCCACATCTATCTCTTACCAGCTGTGTGGTCTTAGCCGTAGAATTTCCTGTTCTGTAAACTTGTGATAAGATATCACGGTGTCCTGAAACTCTAACGAGCTATTGTATTCAGCATGAGCAGTGACTAGCACACATCATTCTCTATGAATTTTAGCTCTATTTAATCATAAACCTTATTAAAGGCCTCTAGATAAGGCTGGCTCATTATTCGTTCAAGGATGTCTACCTAGGGATATGAGATCAAGGGTGATCACACGGCCCGGTGTGAGAGTCCTGGGAGGCAGGAGACATCAACGAGACAGTCCAGAGACATAGGAGCTCCACAGGGTAGGGGGTGGGGAGCTCACAGCTGCAGAGGCCAGAAAGAAGTGCCCACCTGCCTTCCGATGATGGGGTGGGACAGGACTTCTCTGAGAGGTGGACTTGAGCTGGTGGGCGGAGGAGAGGGCACTGGAACCAAGTCAGGACGACTTCTGATGCCACACCATGGAGGTGATCTAGAGGTGGGGGGGGGGGGTGCTGCGGAAAGTGGTTGTAGCACAGCGATGTAAGCAGAGGGCACTTAGGAGAAGTACCTGTGGAGCAGCAGGAAAGGCCCAGAGTAGAGTGACTCCTGGCCCGGAAGGAGAGGGGAAGGGAGGGGAGGGGAGGAGAAGGGAAGGGAGGGAAGGGATGTCAGCCCTGCCCGGGAGCCGGCTGCCTTTTCACCCCTTCCTTTCCTTTCTCCCTTGGCACAAGCTGCCCAAGGTCAGCCTCTATCACGCCTGTGGTTATGGACACAGACACCTGGTTACTGAGTAATTCAGGCAGATATTGACATCCAGATGACAGCAGCTCTTCAAGTTATGAAAGATCAGAGATCATCTGGCATTTTTCTTTTCTTTCTGGCTTATTTCGCTGAGCATGATCCCTTCCAGCGCCATCCATGTTGCTGCAAATTGCATGTGTTTATCTTTTTTTGAATGCTGAGTAATATTCCATGGTGTATATGGACCACATCTTCTTGATCCAGTCATCTATTCCTGGGCATTTGGGCTGTTTCCAAAGCTTAGCTATTGTAAATAGTGCTGCTATAAAGATAGGGGTACAGGTGCCCTTTGGAATTAATATTTCTGTGTCCTCTGGAATTTAGAAAAGCTAAATAAGGAACCAGGAAAAAGACTAATTATAATAAAGTAAAAATCAAAATCAACAAGCAACTATAAACCAGAGACACACTACGGGGAGTGGGGGAGGAGGGAGGAGAATCAATACAAGGGGGGTGGGAATTGTACAGGGACTATAACCAAGATGAAAATGCATACGTTGTGCAAAAATGAAAAATGATGTAAAAAATATATAAAATTGGGCCTTCCTGGTGGCGCAAGGGGTTAAGCACCACACTATGAAGCAATCCGCATCCTCTGCAGCATGAATTCGATCCCTGGCTGGCCAGGGAGAAATGCACATGGTGAGGCAGACCTTTCCTGTCTCACCCGCTGCTCCCCTCAGCAGTGTATTTCAGTCAGTCTGCCTGTTCTGTTCCCCACTCTGTCTCTGGTGAAACCTCTCCCCCCCTTCTCTGGCCTGTACCCCAGCTCTTGTATGCATAAATACATAAATCTTTAATATATATATAATTAAAATATTAAAAATATAATAATGCAAAATTTTAAAAAAGAAATACCAGAGCCAGTTGCACGTTGTCTTAAAACCAGGTTGTTTATTGGCACACACACACACGCACACTCGCACTCACACACACCCACACGCCTGCTCCCGAGGCACGGAGCCAGCACGGGGCTGAGAGGAACCTGACGGGAACCAAGCTGCTGAGGGGCTCGGGTCCTTGGTGACTCTCCAAATAAAAAAGGTATTGACTGTGAGGTCAGGGGCACACCAAGACCACAGCCTCCGGCCCTGTGACAGGGTCTCTGCTCCATGGGCTCCCTGCAGTGCTCCCCGAGCTGCCCTGAGTGGCCGCAGCCCCAGCTATGCCTCTGACCTGACCAACATGATGGGGTGAGTTGCAGAGGGGAGGCCAGGGCTGCGTCTCCCCCTGAGCTAGCCCTTCGAGAGTCCCCGGAAGGAGTCAGATGGCCTCGGGTTCCCCACCTTCTCCCATCTTAGAATCTGGGGTTCCTCATAATCTTAGTATCCATTGCCCAGGAATAGGGGCTCTTTCTCTTTGTCCGATTCATTTTCTGCTCAAGAACTGCTCCAGCTCTATCCCCAGCAGCCTGAGGGGAGGGAGCACTGACAGAGCAAAGCAGGCAGCGGCCTTGGCCTCACCTCGGGAGCCTCCCAGGCCCTCACTGGTGCACCTCTCCTCCACTGAAAAGCAGAAGGCTCTGAGCCTGGCACCGCCCCACTCCTTCTGGACCGGGTGCTCTGGCCCATCACCCCACCTGCCACTCAGAACCCAAGATGATCAGGCTGCAGACCAACTGCTCAGCTGCCTGTAGGAGGGCACAGCCCTGGCCCCCTCCAGAAAACATGCTCCAGACACCTGTGCTCTCCTCCCACGTGGATGAAGCCCTGCGTGGCATCAACCACTCGCCATCAACTTGGATCCCAAACCCTTCCAGGCACCTTGTCAGGCTGAGGAAGTGAGAAGGAAGAGGGATGTCTTGGGCGTGACATTTCTACCAAACCAGGACCTTTATTCCTCACCCCAGTTGCCACCATGCAATTACATGGTGCAGGCTGGACAGGTCCCGGATTTGGAGGAGGCACCGTACCTGCACACCAACACAGCCTTGAACACGGGTGGGTGATTTGGGGACAAGCAGGAGAATGACAGCTGTCACCAACACTGGATTTCTTGGACCTGGGACATGAGTCACTGACGGGGATACTTTATTTTCTTCCCAGGAGGTTGGGGGAAGGAAGCCTCAGACTATCTCTATCCCAAATTTTACTTTAGGGTCAATATATATTCAATCCACTCATCGGGTATATTCTTACAGGGCTGGGGTTCCTAAAGAAGTGGGGCAGAGGGGGACAGCTAGGAAGGGATGCTTGGGGGCACCGTTGGCAGTGCACGGTAAGCTCTGAGCTGCCCCAGAACCAGGATCCACGTAACCCCCTCTCCCATCCGGCCACAGTGCCACTTATGGTTGGGCCAGGTGGCACCCCGGCTGCTCTCCGGCCACTGGCTCGCCCTCTAGCTGGCCTCCTACTGTCACCAGGCAGGAGGGCTGAGATTTCCCCTTCCTCAGCCTTGGCTCACAGCTCAGCAGCCACTTCTCGCAGATCCTTCCCAAACTCACATTTGGGATTCCACCTAAGCGGGGACCCGGAAGCTCCACCTGGCCTTTCTGCCAGCCTCGCCATCCTGGGTGCATGGGCCTGCTGCAGCTCTCCAAGCCCCAAGGTGGTCCCAGAGGCAGGTGTGCCAGCTGTGGAGATGAGTTGGGGGAGGGAAATACTGTGGGTGCCGAAACCAGATGTCAGGCCAATGGACACTGTCAGGAGGTGGACAGGGACCAGATGGCCAAGTAGCCCAAGCAAGGCAGAGTCTGATGCGCCCCCTTCCGGAAGGGCCTTTCAGCCCTGGGCGAGGCGTCCTGGTCCCTGGTGGAGGTTGCAGCCCAGACCAGGGTAGGTCCAGAGACCAGGAAGGTGTCCCACCCACCAGGGTGTCTGTCCTCTCTCTCCTGCAGACTCCCAAGTATGGAACCTTGATGCCTCCAGGCCAGGAAGCCCAGCAAGTCCATGGGAGACGTAGAGAGGACGCAGAGTGGGCCTCGGGCTTGCCGAGGAAAGAAGGGGACGAGTATATTCTGAAGTCCAGGGCTAGTGGAAAATCAGGAGACTTGGAGCCGGGGGGGAAGGGGAACGAGCTGGAGGGGTCGGAGCCGGTGAGTCTGTGAAACTCAGGAGGAGGAGGAAGCCGGCCTGGGCCAGGGCTAGTCCCGGAAGGCGGAGAGCATGTGTCCGTAGAGATAGTGGGAGTGAGCTGAGGGACAGAGAGACAGACAGACAGGCATCGCGCTGTGAGTTGGGACTCAGTCCCTGGAAGAGCGGTTTGCAAGGTGTGTGCGGGGGGGGGGGGGGGGGGGGGGGTGCTAGCCAGTGCAAAGCGTCCCAGGCCCCAGGTCGGAGGAAGCGGGAAGGGCAAGCCGGCAGCCAGCGAGCAGGACGCGAGCGGCAGGGCCAGCCAGCGTGGGGAGGCGTGCGCCGAGGCGGCAGCAGAGCGCCCGCGCCCCGGGGCCTGGCCCACTTACCCCGAGCCACGGGCACACCCCGTCAGACCCGGGGCGGGAGGGGGGTCAGCAGGAGTAAGTCCGAACCGTGGAGGTCTCCAGTCTCTGCGCCCCCGCCGTCCCGGCTGGGAGGATCGGCAGCCGCGGGAGAACACACAGAGCGCGGGTTAGTGCGCGCACGCTCGGGGCCTGCAGGCCGCGCCGGCCATGGCAGCGTTAGTGCAGCGGGGCGCCCAGGCTCCGGCCGCGGGCCGCGGACCGCCAGCGCCCGCCCGCCCCCGAGCCCGGCTGCCGGCTGCCCCCGCAGGACTCAGGCTCCGGCTGGTCCCTGGCGCAGGTCGCCGCCCAGACCAGGCCCAGCCAGCCTGTCACTCACCTTCCGGCATGATCTTCTTTGGAGGGGTCGGGGGAGGCTGCAGGGGCCCCAGGCTTGACACGCGGAAGCCTGCCGGGAGCGTCTCCGCCGAGGCGCTGAGCATGCCTCCGTGGGGGTCCCGCGGCCGGAAGCGTTTCCTCCAGGAGGGCGCACGGCGGAACACCTTCTCCTCCCCCTGCACGGAGAGGACAGCTTGGGATGACCACCCCCACGCCTGGCCTGGAGGGAGGGCAGTCCTGACTGGGCCTGGGGGTTACCACCCCATCCCTTTAGAAAGAAGGTTGCAAGATCGCGTGCCTTTTCTGGGCCTCAGTTGTTCTGCCTGTAAAATGAGTCAAGCTGAAAGAGATGACTTCTCTGGCCTCACGCGCAGCCAACTCCGTCTGTAGGTGGGATGGGGCCCCCTCTGGTGGCATCTATCGTCACTTACAGCTGAGCTCTGTTTCCCTGCCCAAAGTGGGCTTCGGATGGCCACTGACCTCTTCTCAGCTTCATCGGTGGAAGTGGTCACTGGCCAGTGCCCCCCCACCCCTCCTGCCCATGGGGCCTGAGTCCTGCTGAAGCCCCAGGATGCCCGAAGAGCACTGGGTCAGGAGTCAGAAGACCTGGCTTCCATTTTTCTAGCTCTGAGACCCCATGCAAATCAAGAGCTCTAAGCTTTAGTTTCCTTATTTAAAACAGAATCATCATCTGATCTACCTGTTTCCAAGGCCTACCCCTAACGGGATCAGCAGATAGCCAGTCAGAGGCAGACTCCTCCATGGCACATGGTGGGCATCCCCCTGCCATCTGTCAGCCAAGTCTCCAAAATCAACAGCTCAGCCATAGGGTACGGGGGCCATCACCCCACAGGCTGCCCCTGTACACGAGCTTTCTTCAGAACATCCGCAGCCCTTCTGGCAGTCATGCCTAATGTCCATCCGCCCCCATGTTCTTGGAGCTGGTGCAGGCAGAGGGCTCCAGGCAGGAGTGAGCCACCACCCACCAGTTCTCTCCTCAACCACCCCTTCGAGCCCCAATCCCAGGCCAGCTGCTTGTGTACCCAGGAGGGTAAACGCTCCCATCAATTCTTAGTACCATGGGCCTTACTTGTAAGAGTAGCATTTTTACATGTATTTATGAGATTATTTCATTAGCCCCCCATTCCTACTTCCTCTTCCCTTCCCCTCCCTTTCACATTCTAGGCTCCACAGACAGACACTGTGATCCTTTTTGTACCAATCAATGTCACCCCAGTCCCTGAGTAGTGCCTGGGGACACTGGGGGAACTAGGCAAGCATGTGTTAAATGAAGCCTGTAAGACTTCCCACCCCTGAGTGAAGCAGGAACTGTCCTCAGTGCTGCCCTCCCTGGGATCCTGTCATTAACCTAGCCCATGCACCCCGCCCCCCATTTCCACCTTCAGCCAAACCTAAGGATTTGCTTCTGTATTTCTCCTCTAATAATCAGATGTTCATGTCCCCTCCTTCCTGTTTCCCATGAGTCCTGCTTTCCAACCAGGGAGAATTGGATGCAGCCCTCTAGGACCTTGAAGCCTGAGAAAGGAAACTGGGAAGCAGAACGGGCAGAGAGAAGAGGTGCAAGAGACAGCTCAGGTCACTGTGGATGTGCTAGGAGGTGGGGCAAGAAGCCAACCTTCAATCCCAGACGTCCCCCACCGCCCCCATCACCAAATTTCATCGTATTCCTCGCACCTAGCCTTCTCCTTTAAGCTTCTTTACAAGAACAGGTCCTCGAGCCCCACACCTAGTACGTCACATGTCCCATAGCACTGCCAAGATGACGTCACCTGCTCGATAACTCCACCCCATATCTGAAGTCTGAGTGGCTAGGCAGCCCATGTGCTTCCAGGAGGCAGTGGGAGGGGATACAGGGTAGACAGCAGGTCAGACACACATTTGCTCCAGTCCTGCTATGCCACACAGAACCTAGGACAGCAGGCACGTCACCCCTATGAGGTACCCTCATCTGTAAGGTGAGCTCATAACCTGTTACCCATGAGGACAGTCGGAATACAGTGAGAGGGATGTCTCCATCCACTACCATATTCAAAGAACGATGGACTACTACTCTGCAATCAAAAAAGACAAAGTCATGCCATATGCAGCAACACAGAAGGAAGAAGAGAGAGAAATACCAGATATTGTCACGTAGAGATCAAATATGGAGAAACCAAAGGATCAGACAAATACAAACTTTAAAACCAACCCTTGAGGGGCCTCCCCGGTGGCGCAGCGGTTGAGCGCTGGGTTGCGAAGCTGCCCACAGCCTCTGCGGCGCCGGTTCGATCCCCGGCTGCTCCCTGGCCACCGGAGGAGGGTCCCACATGGCGCGCAGACCTCTCCTGCCGCCCGCTGCTCCCCTCAGCAGTGTACTTCGGTCCTTCTGCCTGCTCTGCTCTCTGCTCTGGCTCTGGTGAATTCTCTCACCCTCCCGCGCTTCTGACTGTACCCAGTGCATGTATAAACAAAAACAAAGAAAGAAAAACATGCCTCTATAAAAAAAAAAAAAAAAAAAAAAAAAAATAAAACCAACCCTTGAAAGCTGACCATAGATCTGTGGCTTTCCGAGTGGGGAGGGGAAAATGGGGGGACAGGGTGGGGGGCACAATGGACTATGGATTATGGGTGCTTTGGTCATGGGAGTTCTGTGGTGAAGGGAGAATCTTATACTGTCAAAACACTGGCAAGGATGTAAAATAATGGTATTTCAGTAACAAAAATAAATTTTAAAAAAAGAATACATTGGTTAGGATTGAAGGAATAAATAACCTTGCACATTAGAAAGCAGGGTACTGAAATACACGGGAGTCATTTCTCCAGACAGCATGAGAAAGCTAAGATCCTAGGTATGAGAGGAGCAAGTAGCAGGGTCCTTTGTCACAGGGACAGGGAGAACACTAGGACCTCTGAGAGTGGGGACAGCTGGGGGGTGGGGTGGGCACTAGCAGTTTATCTCCTTGATTGGAATATTCTCACGCCAAATGTCAAGGTACTTCTGTGAAGCCAAAGCTCTTCCACAAATTCAGTGTATTCCTGAGCATGTCCCATCCACCGAGGCACAGCAGTTATTCTACAAAGGTGGGTTTGGGTCCGGCTCAACCCAACAAAGAAGGCACCCATGAATGGGGTCCCACAAGGAGACCCAGGGGACTACACAGAGGAATCAGTGGGGGCAGGGGTGGTGGTGAAAAGAGAGCTACCCAGAAAATGGAGATCGGAAACAATGATCTGACTGAAGATGGAGAAGCTAAAAATAAACTGTCTAGGCTCGTTTTTAACTTGTTTGGAGCCAAGGCACAGCTACGGCAGACCGGACAGGCAAGGGCAGGCAAGGTCGATAATAGGAAAGGGAGCAGGGAGGAGGGAGGAGGAGGAGGCGGGGCAAGGCGGGGTCTCAGGAAACAGGTGCATTTGGCAGGCATCTCTAACGGGAGTACGGAACTCAGGATGTCTGCGTCGTCCCAGACAGGATTCAGTCTGAACTCAAGGGGAGGCCTACCCATTTGCTCCAAAGGCAAATGGAGGGTACCTGGAGGGTAGAGGGGGGAACTTTAACTTGCTATGCATAACTTTAACTTGTTATGCAGACACAGAGTGAAACTGGGGAGGAAGCCAGGCTGATCGAAAATTGAGCCGTGTGTTTAGCTGTGTCAAATGGCTGAGGAACAAGACAGCAGACCAGTCATAGGCTGTCACCTGTCATATGCTGTCACTGTGCAACCTCACAGCTCTAGGAGGGCTGGGGATGTGATTGAGCAGGCTGCAGGTAAGCTGAGCTGATGACACTGAAGAGCTGGGGTCTGAGACATGAAGAAAATGCTAAGATCCAAAGAGATAACCTTTGGGGGAAACCTCTGACCCTGCATGGTTGGGGCGGGGGGCCACAGTCCTGGAAGATGCCGGAGGGAGAATATATAGGAGCCTTCAGCTTTTCTTACAAGGCAAGAGTTTCTAGTGACTTCCATGGCCGTTGCTGGGCCTGGACACCCCAATGCCCTAACATCACACATATCCCTTGGCTCTCCACTTCAGGCAAATCCACCAATTGCCAGCCCAGGCAAAGCAGAACTCATGAACAATAACCCAGTGAACCAACAGTGAACAAACCCCAAAGTCCCCAATTCACAGCAATGACTCACATCATCCAGCTTCCGGTCGGTGCCCAGAGCCAGCAGGTTGTTGAACTCTCTCTCCATCACCTGGCGTGCCTGGAGTCCACAGGGAGAGAGGGAGGGGGCGGGCATTAGTGACTTCTATGCCACCTCTCCCCTGCGCCCTAGGGTCCAAGAGCAGTTGGGGTTCTCAGTGCATTGAGCCCTAATATTAGCCCTGACACTGCTCCTTCAGGTGAACTTTAGAGTCCTCCTAGAAGTAAAGACTCATGAGTCTTTCAAATGGAGAAAATTAGAAAACTATCCCTTTTTTAAAAGTGGGATCACAGGACACATGGGTGGACAGGCTTCACCTACTGGAGGGAAAAGACATTTTGTCTATAAGGGAAAATCTTGCCTTCTTGCCTGCCTAGAGGGGTATATATACTAGTGGGCCATGGGTAATAAGGATTTAACTTAATTCAACTGATGCAAACATAAGGTTCACGTCAAAATTTTAACTTAGGAAGATGGCTCAGTGGTGGATGGTGGTGGCCCCTGGGTTGAATGTGTACATGGAGACCTTCTCTGGGCCTCTTGGGAATTGAACTCTGTAGGGGATTTGAGAAATGCCAGAAACAGCAAAATTTTCAAAACCGCCACCAGATAATTTTAACCAATTTTAATGGATCCATCCCACCCGCGTCAGGTCCCCTTCCCCTAATGGTGAAGCTAAGAATGTGCAGCCAAGTGAGAAAGGTTAGAAGATAATAGCAGTGTTTCTGCTGCTGCTTGTAGATGGCCCACAAGCCACAGACACTGGATGGTATTAAGATAGGAAAAACACAAGGCAGAAAACGAAGCACATTTGTGGGTGGAGAAAACCTCCATAAGGACAGCCCGTGTCAGTCCTGGAAATGGATCATTCTTATCAATCATCAGAAAAGAGCAGCCCAGTAAATTGTTAGCAATGCAGACACCACTCCCCTTGGTAGCGAAAGGTGAAGATGATGCTTAAACTTCAGAGACATCTCAAAGCTGTGAGCGAGCAAGGAGCCAGCAGGTGAGGCTGGAGGTGGGCAAGTATGGGAAATGCCTGGGGGGTAAGGCAGGCTCTTCTTAGAGCCCAAGGATCTGTGCTAGCCATCTGATTAGTCAGGGGGCTCACTGCAGGGAGCCTATAGGTCACACTCACCCTGTCTGCTGCGATCAACCCCAAAAGGCCAACATGCCACCCAGAATTTTGAGACAACACAGCTCTGCCCTCTCACAAGCCAAAACGCATCTGCTCCCGGAATAGCTCCGCAGCTCTGGTGGCTGAATTTCAAAAGAGACCTGACAGCTGCAAACAGTCCAGACAAGGGCAGCTAAAGTGATCAGGGGCTGGAGGCCCGTCTATATGAGGAAAGGCTAAAAGAATTAAGACCACCCCATCTGGAAAGACAAAGGCTGGAGCCCAGAGGCAACACAATCAGAGTTTATGAAATCACAAAAGTGAGAATTGGTCAAGCACAACATCCTTACCAAGTCTAGAAGATTATGTCGAGGTAGCGCCTGTCCCCAGGGAGAGGCCCGCGGGGCACATTTGGGACAAATAGAATCAGGAAGTGCTTACACCAGGTAGCAGGACTTCTAGAGTCCATTACCCACAGGAAGTGAGAAAGGCCAAACATATAAATAGGTTCAAGAGAATTTAGATATATTCTTGGAGGGCAACTCCATAACAATTATGAAATGTAATTTAAGGCGATGTCTGATCTTTTGAGCTGCTGACAGGGAGACAAAGACCCGGCTGGAGAGGCCCTGGCTGTGTGATTTGGTATATTTAGCTTTCTTAAGCCAGGAGACCCAGGAGCAGATCCCTAGGGGTGAGACAGAGGAGAGACATGCTCTCTGGCTTCTTTGGACCCCAGGGTCAGTTGTCCTTCAAGAAATGTCAGATCAGGAAAAGACCTTGAGGGACAGGTAGGCACAGAGTTTTAGCTACCAAGAGAGGGTTGGGGAAGACAGAAGAGGAGTTTAAGAGTCTCAGGCCTGGGCGAGGTGCTAGGTATGTTCCTTATGTGAAGGGCACTTTTTCCCTAGGGAACCTGGCTATGCACAGGGACCCCCAGGAGGTAATTCCCTCCCACAGACCCCTAAGCCTGGGCATGTGGCACACATGCTGGCGAGAGCCGGTCACGGACGGATGGCAGGGGCACCCACCTGGGTGTTCTGCGTGGGGATCTGGAGCACCAGGGCCAGTGTGTTGTGGTCAAAGTTCTCGTCCAGGGCCAGTAGGGCCCCATGCACACCGCTCTCGTGCAGATTTCCAGCGTAGTCCCGAAGCCCAATGGACTGGACCCAGTTAACCACCTGGTCGTTGGTCCAGACAAGCACATCTGGAGGATGGGGGGGAAAGGATATGAAAAGACAGGTTGGACCAAGGCCCCTCCAAGGACAAAAGTGGAACTCCAAGGCCCTAGACCCTGCCCTCAGGCTCCCAACTTTACATGCCTCTCCCTGGCACCTGGGTGCCTGGAAAACCAGCACTACCCCATTCTATCCTTGCGAGCCCGCAGGACTCAGGGTCCAGTCAGCAGGCTCCCACTTTCTCCCCAAGCCCTTGCACAGACCACCCCCTACCCAGGCTAGAAGGCCCTCTTATTCCTCCCACCGAAAGGTCTTTTCTGAGATTGGCCCCCTCTTTCCTGCCCAACTTCACTCAGATCCCGAATGCGGGGGCATGGGCTCACACCCGTCTAGAGCTGTCCCCAAGATTCAGCGCATTTGTCCAGTGGGTGTCCACTGTCTGGGGTGGGGGTGGGAGTGTTTCTTCTGGGCAGGGGCTCTTTCTTCTCCCCAGATGGTGACATCGCCCTCATCAGGCTGGAAGCTGCCTATGGTGGGGTCAGTAAGCCAGCCCTGCTTCCCCAAGATAGCTCCCACACCCTTTAGAGGAGGCTCCACTGAGCCCAACAAGCTTACCCTTGATCTCATGCTGGCTGTCCTCCCGCCTCTTCTCTAGTTCCTTCCGGTCATAATTCAGCCTCTTCAGACACATAATACCATACTGAAGACTGGATCTGCAGGCACACGGGCCCCTTGAGCCTCAGCGGGGCCACATTCCCACCACTTCAGCCCACGTCCAGCATGTCCCCCTACATCCTCCAGCAGAGAGCACCACCCAGCGCCTGTCCCTCCCCTCCCCATCCCCCAGCTTGCACATAACCCACTCCATGGCTGCTTCCCTCTCTGCCTTCTCCACGTCCTTCCGCTGGCCAGGGCATGGACCTAATTGGCGAATACAAAGTTCTTTGAATGAAAGCAGCATGTCCTTTGTCTCCAGGTGCTGGAATACAAAGACTTTTACTACTTGCAAGTCAAAGAAAAAGCAAAAACATGAAATGAATCCTTATTTAGTATCCAAGATGTTATCCCCATGCCACTCAGAGACTTCACAGTGGTCTACAAAATGTTTCGTGATCTGCCCCTTGCCTGCCTGACCTATGCGGCAACTACTCTCCTCCCCTCTTCCTGCGGCAGCCACACCGGCCTCCCCTTGCTGTTCTTCAAACACAGCAGGCACAGGCAACATGCCTCAGGGCCTTTGCACAGGCTGCCCCCTTTGCCTGGATGGCTGCCCCCTCTGCCTGGATCCTTCTTCGAAGTCTGCTGAAGTGCCCTGTGTCTCCTTCAAGACTCAGCTCAAATGTCACCTTGTCAGTTCAATAGTCACCTTGCCTGCCTGACTTAAAACCACAGCATCACCACTCCCAGCCCACACTCCCTATCACCCTTACCCTGGCCTAATTTTTTTCCCTGGTATTTTTTTATTCATTAACATATGACACATTATTGTCCCAGTTAGAAAGCAAGCACCATAAGGGCAGGAAGTTTTGTCATGAGGGCAGGCATGTTTTGTTCCGGATCTATCTCAAAGCCCTAGAATAGAGCCTGGCACAAAATCGACATAATTCACATAAAGTACTAAAAATACTTAAACAGCACTAGGGCATAGTCAGGATGCTGTAAATAAGCCAGAAGCACAGACTGTAGGTTAGAAGGGACCCCAGAGGCCAACTGCAGGAGACACCTCTGTCTCACCCTTCCAAGAACTGTGAACACTTGTGCCCGATCACCTCTGGGGATAGGGAATTCACAAGGTCTCCAGGCAGCTTATTCCCGTTGGGCACTTTCTCCTCACCTTGGACATTACACTGTCACTCAGGCTCTTTGGGTTTTGTCATGGGAAGAACACAAGTTTCCTCCAACTCTAACTACTTTCCACTCTATTGTTGAAGCCATTGCTTTGTAAGATTAAAACGTGCAGGGGGTCTCCCTGGTGGCGCAAGGGGTTAAGCGTCAGCACTATGAAGCTATCAGAAACTACTGCAGCACAAATTCGATCCCTGGCCAGGGAGGTGACCCACATGGTGCAGCAGACCTCTCCTGTCTCGCCCGCTGCTCCCCTCAGCAGTGTATTTCAGTCGATCCACCTGTTCTGTTTCTTGCTCTGTCTCTGGTGAATCCTCTCAATCCCCACACTTCTGGCCTATACCCCAGTTCTTGTATGCATAAATAAATAAATCTTTTTTAAAAAGAAAGAATTAAACCATGCAGATCATTTCCTCCTTTTCTTCCCTGAGTCCAACCAGATAGCCCTTCTGCCTACAACAGTCCCTCCTAGGGCAGACACCACCAGTACACCAGACACCCACTTTCCTGGGTCTGCAGGTACCCACTCACTGCTCAAGCCACAGGCTTAAGCCTTGGTCCCTTCAGAGGGCAGGAAGACACACTACCTGCTTCCTGGAAATGCCTTCTGTCTAGTCTCAATCTCACTTATTATACTTGTCAGTCCGGTTCCTGTAACTTTCAAAGCTGTCGCACAGCACAGCCACAATATAAAGGCCTTTAAGTCAGATCAAGCTGGGTTTGAATAAGGCTCTGCCACCGTCCTGCTGGGTGGCACTCAGCCTAAATGAGCTGAGTCCTACCTCTCTTGAGAGCTGCTGTGAGCATTAAAAGTGATACTGCATGGAAGGGCACAGCCCAGCCCCTGGAACATCATGGGCACTCAGCAAGGGCGCCGCTACTAGGAGGACATTTCTGATTGTTGAGTGTGCTTGTTCTCCCATGAAACAGGAGACGCTCAAGGAGAACCTGCTCGACAAAATGTTGTTCTAGGGAAAGAGCTCCGAGCTAGGTGTCAAGAAGGAAGGATGTTGGCTCATTCTGTACATTCCTGGTTGGCACCTGACCTCTATTGGGTGGGTTTCCCTCTCTGTAAATTATTTTTTTAATTTATTTATTTATGCATACAAGAGCTGGCTGGGGTACAGGCCAGAGATGAGGGGGATGAAAGGATTCACCAGAGACAGAGTGGGGAACAGAACAGGCAGACTGACTGAAATACACTGCTGAGGGGAGCAGCGGGCGAGACAGGAGAGGTCTGCTGCGCCATGTGGGTTGCTCCCTGGCCGGGGATCAAACTCGTGCTGCAGAGGCTGCGGATTGCTTCTTAGTGCAGTGCTTAACCCCTTGCACCACCAGGGAGGCCCTGTAAATAATTTTTTTTTAAGATAGGCCTTACTTGTCACAAAAATATAATTTTTAAAAATGTTTACAGACCTAAGAACATACTTAGGAAATGTCAAGTGGAATAAAAGCAGGTTTTTATATAGTTGAGGAAAGGAATGTGGAGAAGCTTTAGAAACTCTGAAGTCATCAAAATTCAGAGTTGACTCTGGAACCATTTGTGCAGCTGGGAGTCCCTCCTGGGCTTGGGCAGAGGGTCAAGGGGGGATTTTCATAAAGCTGGGTGGGGCCAGGCCGACTGGTCCCCCAGCAGCCTGGTTCATCCCGGCTCTCACCAACCCTGTCAGTCACCAGGGAGGGAACAGGTGCAGCTCAGCCTGCAGCCTCCCCAACAAAGACAAAAGATTCCCTTTCAGCCCAGTGGGGAGGGAGGACACAGCTGGGAGTCCCAGAGCAAAAGGCTCTGCTGTGCCGGGGCAAGAGAACTGGACTCGGGACCTGTCGTCCCTGGACGACTCTGGCTAGTTGGATCTATTCAGATTGACATCTTTAAGGAATGACTGGGCAGTCATTTATACCCAGCACACCCGTGTGATTTGTGTCTGGAGAGACCAGGGGACAGCCGCAAAGCCCCAGAGAACCTTAAATGCCACACTGCAGCCTCACCCCAGCTCCCACCTCTGTCCCATTATCCACTCAAGGCAAAAGACCTGGCTCAAATAGCAGCCTATGCGACTTGAAATTGGATGTTAAAAGGGACTTCCTAAGATCTGCCAGAACCATTACCACCCACCTTGCGCTCAAACCCAAATGCCTACTGGGTTAACGGAATGAGCCGAGCAGGTAGGAGGAGGTGGGAGAGCCTGGGGACACCACCCGGCTTGGGGGCTGCCGCCATCCAGCTCCAGCTGCCTGTCTCATGCTAGAATATGTCAACAGAGCTTTCAACTCTTCAAGAGAAGCCAGACATCCAGAATTTTGTGCAAAATTTCCTAGTGTTTAAATACTGGCAACTGATCACAATTTTTAAATACTGTCTGGGCCAAACAAAACACATCAGTGGGCCAAATTCTGCCCACGGCCTGCCAGTTGGGGACTGTGCTACACTTTAACAGAAAATCTTTTCAGCGGGAGGAGGAGGACTGGATGACATCCTGTGCAAATGGACGTGGATTCAACACTGAGGGGCCCGGATCTGGGGTAACGGCATGGCAGGTGTCCAGAAAGAACTTTCCTCTCAACTTGGAGAAATCAGACCCCTAAATCTGACTGTGGGTTGAGTTTGAGTCTTCTCAGGGCAAAGGCAATAAGTAATGAAATTCAGACCTGGGAGCAAGTTTCCAAGAAAGTGAGGCTAAAAGAAATGACTTTGTATCGCAAAGGTTGGAGGCGAAAGCATCAAATCCTCAAATTGCAGATGAGGGCCTCCCTGGTAGTGCAAGGGGTTAAGACGCAACCTATGAAGCAATCCGCAACCTCTGCAGTACAAGTTCGATCCTCAGCCGGCCAGGGAGCAACCCACATGCGCAGCAGACCTCTCCTGACTGGCCTGCTGCTCCCCTCAGCAGTGTACTTCGGTCAGTCTGCCTGTTCTGTTCCCCGCTCTGTCTCTGTTAAATCCTCTCAGGCCCCACACCTCTGGCCTGTACCCCAGCTCTTGTATGTATAAATAAAAATAAATCTTTAAAAAAAACTACATAAAATCTATAAAAGAGAAATTTCATAAAATCAACTACATTAAAATCTTTGTTTAAAAAAAAAAATTGCAGATGAAATGAGGACTCAGCTTTCCCAAGAGGGTGACTGTTACCCCCAGACCTGGCCATGGACAGAGGTGGGTGCCTCTACTGTGTGCCGGACCGGGCCCCCGCTGCGCTCACCGGTGGAAGCTGTCCACCATCTTCAGGTGCACCCGCAGGTCCTTCTTGGTCAGATGGTCGAGCATGCGCGCGTCCACCAGGCACTCCATGAAGTAGCTGCGGTACTGGGGGAGCCCCAGGCTGGGAAGCCACTCGTTCCCGATCCACTCGTGGTTCATGTCTCCGTAGGCTAGGGTCTGCAGGAATGAGACAGCGGAAGCTGTGGGGGGAAGAAGGCTGTGCCAGCAGGGCACAGCTCCATCTTCCATGGCAGGTCAATCAAATTTCAGCTTATTTTCACCAAGGGGCTGGTAGCAGTGGGAGGTGGGGATTTTAAATGGAACTTCTCAATGCCCTGAAATGATATGGTTCCACTCACATATCAATTATCTACACTAATGAACAGAAGCCACTATCCAGGCAGCAGATAATCTGAAATCCTCCTGTCGGCTCTTGAAAGCATGTGTGTTGTCGCCCAGCAGCCTCGCCTTTCTGATTTTGTCAGCCTCAAGCCCGCTGAGCCCAGGGGACAGGCTTCATTACAGAGGACCTGAAGAGCAGCAGAGGAAGCCAGTCTCACTTGAGACACCGGCCTCACCGTCCGCGGGGCACTGGGCAGTGTCCAAAGGCAAAAACATAAAGAAGTGTGTTCTGCCTCCACACACATGCTCCCCCCAGGGGAACCACTACGCTGAGTTTTCCATCATGCCATTAAAAATATTTTAGCAGGGGCCTCCCCGGTGGCGCAGCGGTTGAGCACTGGGTTGCGAAGCTGCCCGCGGCCTCTGCAGCGCCGGTTCGATCCCCGGCTGCTCCCCGGCCACCAGAGGAGGGTCCCACATGGCGCGCAGACCTCTCCTGCCGCCCGCTGCTCCCCTCAGCAGTGTACTTCGGTCCTTCTGCCTGCTCTGCTCCCCGCTCTGGCTCTGGTGAATTCTCTCACCCTCCCGTGCTTCTGACTGTACCCAGTGCTTGTATAAACAAAACAAACAAACAAATAAATAAATAAAACATGCCTCTATAAAAAAAAAAAAAAATATTTTAGCAGGGTGTCCCTAGTGGTGCAAGGAGTTAAGCACTGCACTATGAAGCAATCCACAGCCTCTACAGGATGATTTCGAACCCCGGCCAGGGAACAACCCACATGGCGCAGCAGACCTCTCCTGTCTCACCCGCGGCTCCTCTCAGCAGTGTACTCAGCAGTGTACAGTCAGTCTGCCTGTTTTGTTCCCCTTTCTGTCTCTGGTGAATCCTCTCAAACCGCCCCCCGACCCCCGCATCTCTGGCCTGTACCCCAGCTCTTGCAAGTGTAAACAAATAAATCTTTTAAAAAAAGATCTTTAGCATTTTTTACAATTACAATGTATATTTCTTTAACACCATATATTGTTAACTTTGCTTGCTTTTTTTTTTTTTTTTGAGTTTTAGTATAGAATTCTATGAGTCTTTGGGACTTGCCTCTTTCACTTCACATTGTATTTCTAAGATTCATCCACTTCCTGTGCTGAATAGGGTTTGACTGTGTGACGACACCACAGCTGATTTGTCTCATCTCCTGCGGATACGCCTCTCCCTGTTAGGCATCAACAGCGCAGCTCCCTGCTACCTGACACACTGGCCATTTATCTGTCCATTTGTTTACCAGCTGTCTCTCCCCTAGAACACAAGACCCAGGAGGGCTTAGTTTGTTCACTACTGTATCCAGAGAGCTAGAAATGCCCAATACCTAGTAGACACTCGATAAATATTTGCTCACTAAATAAATGAATGAATGAAAGACCTTTGCTCGGTGCACCAGGGGTGTCCCCAAGGACCCAGAAAAGAAGAGGATTAACACCAAATTAAGGCTCATCGTTCTTGGGAAAAGAGACAAGCTGAAGGAAAGAGGTAGACCTGCTGGGGGCACAGCCCGAGTAGCGCTCCCCACCTGCCACCCTGAGAAACCAGAACAAGTAGCAAAAGGGTAATGGAGGGAAGGGTCTGCAGGAGGAGGAAGGAACCTGTGTCTATGGCTCTTCATGGAAGAGGGACACAAACAGACACAAAAAGTCTGCAGGCAGCAAAACTGCGGGGAGAATACTGTCCTGAACTCCTGAGAGTTGGTTCTGAACAAGGAGGGGTCTTACCTGAGCCCAGCTGCCCTCCTCACTGTCCTAGCAGGAACAAGTGCAGCATGTCAGGGGAAACAGGCAAAGTCAAGGACCAGACAGCCTCCAACCAGACCCCATAAGATGAGGGAACAGACAGCCCATTACTTGGGCGGGGGAGTAGGGAAAGGTTGTTGGGATGAGTAAAAGAGATCAGCGGGCTGTTGCAGGTGCCCACATTTTCAGTGACAGGGGGGCAAATGCAGGGGTGGCCACCCCTCACTTCCATTCTTCCCAGCTTGGCTGGGAACCAGCAAGGTGCAGGCCTCCCTATCCTTCCCTATTCCTCCATCAAGGGTCAAGCTCAGGGACAGGGACTGAGGTTTCAGGCCCATGGCAGAGCAACATGCCCCAAGCCCAGATCTTCACTGCAGCGCACCCGTGGCCTAGGATATGCCTGTCATCCCCGGAGTAGGCCCCCAACACACACACACACACACACACTCAAAAACTGTGCCACATCTCATTTCTTTGGCATCAAGTTTCCACCCTGAAAACAGAACCCAGTCACACGTCAGGGATGTCAACCTCATATTAGATCACCTGCAGCGCCCTCTGGGTCCCCAACACCTTCCCCTTCCCCTTGTGGGACTCACCAGCCCTAACACCAGACCTGGGCCCAGGGTCCGACTCACTGTTTTAGTGGATGTTGCCAGAGTTTCCATCTCTTCATGGGTGACCCAGACGTTCCCGGAAGACTGTAGGCAGAGGGGAAACCTAGCTGGTCTTCTGTGCGGGTCCCCAGGATCCTTCTCTGGCTGGGAGCCCCAAGTACAAGGACAAAGCTCCCCTCCCAAGTCCTCCCACAAGCCAGGTCAGGACTCTGCACACCGTCTAGCTCCAAGCAACTCTCCTTTATCATTGTACCCACACTGCTTAGCACATTGCCTGGCACAAGATAGTGTCCAACCAATGTTTCCTGAATGAATGAATGGTGTGGATCTGGAATGAGGGCTGACCCCAGTCATAGAGATGAACTATGATAGAAGCTTTTACCCTGGGGGACCAGGGTATAGTCTGCAGTCCACAAGGAAAAGTCTGGAAAATCAGGACAATTCACAAGTACCCTACTCCCTCTGCTTCCTCCAATCTGGCAACAATATAGAGACCCAAAAATCCTGTTCCAGAAACTTCCCCAGAGATCGAGAACCGTTGGCAGAACTAGAATGGGAAGATGGGGCCCAGAGGTGGTATGTAGGAGGCAGAACTAGGCCTCCTAGAGTCAAGGCCACTCCTCATGGACCCCAGGTGGAGTACCCGTGGGATGGGAGGGCTGGGGGAGGACTCAATGCTACCATCTCCCCAAAGCCCCAGGAGAGATGTGAACACCGCACTGGGGTCTCTGAAAATGTCCAGCTGAGAGAGTGGCCACTCACCGTCCTGGAGGTGGGGGGTGCCGAGGGGCTGGTGAGGGACACCATCTCCTGGATGGCCAGTCGGAGCTTGAGCCGGTGCAGGGCGTTGCTGATGCCAATCTCACGCTGGATCTCCGTGTCCGACAGGGCTGACATGATGGCGCCGCTCTTAACGTTGGCTCGGCAGGCTGCCACATACCAGGCAGGCATCCCCACCCAGAGCTGCAGACAGAGGGCAGGGGTGGTAATTCAGCCCCTTGCCCAAGACCTGGACTCTGCCACCAAGAGCAGAATCGCAAACGCAGACCAGCGAAACTGTGTAGGGGACCATCCTCAAAGGCCTCTTTCCCATCTTCTGGATGAGACATCTGAGGCCTGGGAGGATGAAGGGATTTTCCTAATGTAATATAGTGATTCGCTCCGGGGGCGAGCCCACAGAAAAGCGAACTGCCTGTGGGCATCTTACAGCTCAGTAAAAGTTAGTGTGCCTTATGCAAACAGCTACCCATAGGCCTCCACAAGCAATACCAGTTCTGCACCCCAAAGTAACTGAGGGTGTCTGTGGGAGGAGGGGCTACGTGCTATGCGTGGCACCCATGCACTCATAGGGAGACGCACGGAGAAAGCTCCGGGGACACCATCCCTTGCCTGAGGAGTCCTCATCTCAACATGCACATCCTTCCCGCCCCAGAGTGGACTGCCCTTGGCCAGCCTTACCTCCAGCCAAGAGACCACAGTAGGGCCGTCCCACTGGGCAAAGGGCATTCCTTTCCTGCGGGCATCTTCAAGCAGCTGGTGCCTGGCAGGAGGAAGGACAAGAGGCCCAAAGTCTGCTCTTCTCTCTCAACCATGCTTACTCCCGGGGACCACAGGCTGTGCTGGGGCTGGCCTCCCCACCCCTGCCCCCCACCTGGGACTGCCACCTCTGCTCTATGCCTAAAGCAAGACATGGGCAGAAACATGTCTCCATTCCCAGAGGGCTAGGGGCTCTTTGTTTGCACTTGGGCTGACACACAGACACTTCAGTCTGCTCTGCCAGAGACTCTCCCCGCGTCCCGGTCCCCTTCTCCCGAGCCATCATCCTAAGAACCACACTGTGTCCACATGGACCAGGCCAGCTCAGTTCTGGTAGGGCCTCACTGGGTTCTGGCTGCCTGAGCTCAGTCCCATGGCAGCCCAGGGGAAGGACAGTGGGTAGGGGGCTAGGCTCCCCCAGTAGACCCTGGCCTGTGGCTCCTACTTCTTCTTCAGCCGCCGGTCCTTCTCTGCCTGGGTTCCCAGCTTGGCAGGCACCATGGGCTCCTGCAGACTGAGCTCCGAGTCGGTGAGCAGAACTAGAAGGAGAGAGATGCCACGTCAGCCGGGCGCTCTGCTCCTGTTCCCTTGGCCTTTGTCAGCACTGGGCACAGACCAGCAGGAGGCTCCCCCAACCCAGAGGGCACGACAGACCCAGTCATTATTTCTGGAGCCCCTGCTCCATGCTCCTGCATCCAAGTGGTCCCAGAGTGGCATCATGTGGGCCACCCCCAGCCCAGAGAGTGTCCCCATGGAGCCTCAGCCCAGGAGGTATCTGCCAGCTGGTGAATCGACACCATGCCACTAGAGTGGCAGCAGAATCCTAGACAGAACTTATTCCTCCTCCAAACTCAGGGGCAGACGCCAGTGGGCTACAAGGCCCAGAGAAGGCCACATCAGCCTGGGTCAGGGGAGCAGAAAGGGCACGCTGTGTCCTGGCCCCTTCCTCGGGGTGTGCTCACTTCCCCAAAAGGGAACACGCACAGCTCAGTCCTCTTCCACTGGGCATCTCCTGACCCAGTCCCAGAACCCTGCGGAATTCATTGATGCCTGGTCACTCCCTGCAAGCCCAAGAGGCAGGGGGTATAGGTAACCCAGAAACCCATGCGAGATACTCTGGTAGGCATGTTGGTTTCAGCCTGGTGTGGGGAATACAGGAAATCACACATAACGCTTTCTTACTGACAGGGCCTGCTCAGCTCGAGCACCCCCTTCTGCGGCGGGCCCCACTCTCCACAGCAGTGGGCTGGGGGCAGGACGGCCCACCTCACTCCAACTGAGGCCCCCACACATCCTGAGCAGAGATCCTTTCTGACAACAACAATTTCTCCTCCTCCTCCCTCCTCCTGCTCCTCCCGCCCCTCCTCTTCTATCAGCTAACTCTGTACTAATTCACACCTTCCGGAGATGAAGGCTGTTTATGCATCCGGGTTTAAAGGTTTCTCTCTTCTGGTAGATCAGGTTCCTTCCCTGCATCAAGAAGTACCTGCCTGGGGGGGCTTCAACCCCCTTCAGGGCAGACCCTGACGAGTGTGCCCAGCCCAGTGGGCCCAAATCTACCCCCCCCCCTCTTCCCTTCTCTGAACAGACTCAACTGTACACAAAACTCTCACATCCATGAACCTGCCTTTCTTATAAGCCCCTTCCCTCTTGGCTAACTCCTATTTGGCCCTCAAGCTTCAGCCCAGGAGTTCAGTCCTGGCAGAGGAAGCCAATCCTGTCAGTCCAGCACTCAGGACTCAGTCCCAGCCTGGGCCTGTGCCCATATGACATTGTTTCGAAATCATCTCTATTTTTCCCTTTTCATTAGACACTGGACTTGAAGGAATGGACTGCTCCCCAACACCCAGTACTAAGGCTTGTCTACAACAGTTAATAAACATTGAACAAATGACTGGATAGATGAAGGAAAGAGAAGAGGGAGGAAAGAACAAAGGAATGGGGAGGAGAGAGGAAGACAGCTAAAGTGGACGGTCCAAGGACCCCTGCCACCCATGAACTTGAACTTCGCATTAGCACATAGGTAAAAGAGATGCCCCTGCACAGACACTCACTTGACTATAACGTCTACAAAGTCCTACTTAGGCATTATGATATTTTGAGTCCTGCAGGCAAGATGCACTAGAAATAAGTTCTAATCAAGAACTGACTCTCCGAAAGGAAGAACAGACCTTTCTCCCGAGGTCCGATGCACAGTGTGTCAGAAAACCTCCAAGTCACAAGAAAGCTCAGAGGTCCACTCTTTCGCTGCATATAAAAGGAACCCCTTGGGCAGGGAACCAAGTAAACAGCCATCCGTCTGCTTCCCCACGCTCCTAGCACACTCCCAGCGGCAGAGCTGACCCCCTCTAAGGCTACTTCCCACTGTGATTAGCGCTAACAGAAACTTGCTTCTGAGCTGACGTCTGCCTGTCTGTGGCTTCCACCCACTGGGCCCAGGGAGGCAGGCAGAGGAGGCCGGATCAGACACCCTCCCGCTTCCGGCTCCCTACCCACACCCATTGGCTAGGAAGAGGAAAGAGACCCTGGCCCGTGGCTCCATCCCGGCTCAGCTGGATCAGCCTGCCCTTCTCCTTCTTCCCGAACAGCCGGCCGAGCGATGACTTGATGCCCTTGCGCTTGGCGCCCTTGTGCAAGGAGTCCTGGCTGCTGTTGCTGCTGCTGGGGTTGCTGCCCTGATCTTCCAAAGCACTACAGGGTGGGAGGTGGGGGCGGGGTGAGAAGAAACATAATTACAACGGGAGGGAGAGAAGGAGGGCACACCTCTGGAGGACTCAGACAGCTGGGTCTGGGGGGGAGGAGGGTACTACAATCAGCAGATACCCAAAGGAGACCCAGGACTGTCCTCCCCGAATGGCATTTCTGAGAGAAGTGAGACATTCAGACTCCCTGGAGGCGTGAGATGCAGGGAGGGACAAGGCGAGCTTGGGGACGGAAACTCGAAGTGGTGCCTGTTCACCTACCTCTTGCCTTCTTCCTGGCTCAGGGCTGGGTGGCCAAGCTTCTCTAGCCGCAGCGTCCTGGGTGAGGAAGGAGGAGAAGTCTCACATTTTATGGTGGCTTTATCCTCTCGGTTCTCTTCCCGAGACACTGGCGACTGAACAGACAGTGGAGCTGTCAGGGCATAGAGGGAGAGCTCCGGGGCCTGCCGACCCAGCCCAGACAGGCAGGAGGCCCTGAGGGCCTCGCTGAGTTCAGACTCAGGCTCAAGGGCCCAGGGAAAAGCCAAGGGCAGGGCCCAGGAGAGTTAACCCGTCACTCCCTGGGTCGCAGGCAGAACTCACCAGCAGCTTCCTCCTATGCTTCCTTAAGTCACTGGGCTGGAAGAGAGAGTGAAGGGCGAGCTCAGACTCACGCTATGGACGCCCAAAAGTCAACCCCAAGGGAGCCCAGTGGTCTTAGGATGAGAAGATAGGATTCAGTATCTCACACAGGCCTGCAAAGAATATCACAGCAGAAAAAAAAAGCTGGCCTGAAAAGATAAATCGGGCTAGCTCTGGAAAAGAGATGTGGGCAGTGGGTGAGTTTCTTAAGCTTTCCATGCTTCTCCGAGGCTAGGGCAGGCAAGATACTACATAGGCCCTTTCCCAACCCAGAGGACACGGTGGCCGGACCTGCCAGGGTCCACGCATCCTGAGAAGCAGCAGTCCAGTCCAGCTGAGAGCGGGGGAGCTCTATCACACCCCAGCAACTCCCCGCAGTCACCCCCCAAAGTGGAGCCCAGTGATGACAACCCCAAGACTCTCACCAGGGTCATGACCCCCATGCGGTCCAGGTCCTGGGCAGCACTGCGGGAGGTAAGCTTGGGTGTCGAGCGGCCGCTGAGCGGTGGGGACGCGCTGGCCAGGGACAGGGCTGTCAGGGACGTGGGGATGGAACCGCGTTTGCGCAGTTGTGTTAGGTTCAGGGCCTCCATGCTGCCACTGGTCACGCGGGTCTCGATCTCCTCAGCACGGAGCTCTGTGGACTCTTTCTCTTCCTGGATCATTCTGGATGGCAAACAAAACCAAGCCAAGTCATTGACCCCAGTGAGGACCAGCAGGAGGCAGGGGCTGCGCTCACCACCCCATGACCCCAAGCAGAAGGCAATGCCCAGCTGAACCCCATTGTTTCTGGCATTGCCAGGACATAAAGGCCTGTTGGGCATGGCTGGTCCTATTCCAGTGTCTTAGAAACATTTTTCTCTCTTTCTTGTTAGCTGGCAATTTAGAAAATGAAATAGAAACCGTCGTATGGAATACAAACCCAGAAGTCAGAATTCCTGACTTAACAAAAACAAAAGGGTGACCTTGGCCTGTTTCCAGCGTACACAAGGCAGGAGAGGTCTGAGCCAGCAGTTCCCAAACACAGGGCCTTTACCTGATGCCAACACTGAAGAAGTTTAGTCTGTTCCATGGCAAAATGAAAGAAATCACAATAGTGGTATATGGGGGAGGAGGGTACGCAGAGGAGAGTGCGTGCATACTCACACACATACACACGTGCACAAGTACTCACACTGACACAGAGATGCCAACTGTCACCAAGGGGCAGGACTTGACTTTATTCTAAAAGTATGTCTTTAGGGGTGTTAAAATGTTCTTTCTTTTGCAGAATGGTTGTGATGGGAAATGGCAGTTATCTTTAATGTTTTACTTTGTGGAATAAACATTGGCAGTCCTAATTAGTATCTGTGTATGTGCGTGTGCATGTGCATGTGTATGTGTGAGAGAGAGAGAGGGAGAGAGAGAGAGAGAGAGATTTTCTTTTTGACTGGTCTATGAAATCCAGAGGTGTGCAAACCAGATGCCAAGAGAGCCCATGAAGCTATGATGTGCTCTAGCTCAGAATTTTCCTTGCTGTTGGCCATGAACAGTATACAAAGCGGGGCAAAGTGCAAGCCTTGGTAACTTTCTCGCCACTGGTTTCTGTTTGATGCCTCATTAGGGGTGTGAGGCTTGGCAAAGGGACTGAACTTAAATCCAGGTTTAAATGCTGGCTCTGCTACTTGCTATGTGGCTTTAGGAAAATCTCTCGACGTCTCTGGCTTCTACTGCCTTCTCTGTAAGATGGAAATTATGCTGCTTCTCTCAGTGACTATGGCAAGGCTGACTATAACATTATAAAGTTCTCCACCGGAATAGTCAGCGGAAGCTACACTGTTAGTGATTATGCTGAACATGGTCTTCCAAGCCCCCTCACCAGCTCTGGGAGAGAAAATGAAGTCAATGTGAGGCCCTGCCCTTCTCAGTCCAGAACCGGATTAGAACCTTGCCTGATGACCCACATGGGGCCATACAGGCCAACACCTGTAGGATTTTTCTTGCAAAGTCCAGAGGCAAAAGGGGCCTCTCTCCTCCAAGACAGCTCCCATTCCCTGGGCCCCTGCCTGACCTGATCTCCTCGTTGATGGCGTCCAGCTGCTCCTGTAGCATCATGGCCAGGGTCTGGGCGTCAGAGTGGCCACTGGGGGAGACAACATCCACAGAGCCCACCAGACCCCCTGGCTCATCCTCATCCACATCCGAGATTTCAGGGTCACTGTCGAAGGCAGTGGCAGCTGTGGGGGCCAGCACCCCAGGCAGTGGAGATGGCTCCCAGTCCTTAGCAAAGAAAGAGGGTAAAGGAGCAGTAATAAGACGTGCCAGACAGCTGGGGGCAGGCTCTTCTGCCCTCCAACAAGCTCTGGCATCTCCCGGGAGCCTGCTGTGACTGGCATCATGCAGGCCCCATCCCAGGCCCCCTGATTCTGAATCTGCATTTTTAACAAGATCCCTGGGTGGTTATCTGCACAGTAAAGTATAAGAAATGCTGCTCTAGATCAAGGAGTTAGACAGCACAGGGGTTGGGGACAGATTCAAGAGAGTCGTGGCCTTGCTTTAAATCACCCCTCTGCCCAATATTAGCAGCTAACTATTGAGAGGTTGTTTGATGTCTTTGTGCCTCAGTTTCTTTGTCAGTAAAATGGGGACAGCAGTAGTACTGACTTCACAGTATTTGTGAGGGCTGAATGAGGAACACATGCAACACACTTAGCACAAAGGAAACAGTATGGAAGGGCTCTATGTAATCAGGAGATGACTTCTCAGAAATCATCCTAATACCTCGTTATGCAAAGACCGGAACTGGCTGGGGGATCTGGAGGAGCAGGGGCAGGGGAGGGCGGGGACTAGGGATGGACAGGGGCGCTAACCCCACCTTCTGTGACCCAACCCCAGTTCCTCTCTGGGTTCTTTTCCAGCTCCTGAGAAGTTGCTGTGTTCTCATAAACAGAAAGACTGAAAAGGGTAAGGGATAAGAGAATAAGAGGTGCCTCTGACTGACTCCCCCATCACACTAGGGGTTTCCTCGGAGAAAGGGGCTCGCCCCCTTCTCTGCCCACGTCTCCTAGAGCCTAGAGCACGCAGAGGACGTGAGCCCAGGACAGAGCACGGTTAACAATTATGAGACTAGGAAGAAATTATAACTCCCCAAAAGACAAAAGTTGCTTACTGCTGCCCTTCCTCTTTCCTGTTGCCTGGGAATCTCCCCAGGCAGACGCAAGCGGACCCACAGCTGCTCCTCAGAAAACTTCAGTTGCCATCCCAAGGGCCAGTTAACCTGTCATTCCTCCCTCCTCTCCCCCATAAGCCACAGCATTGGATCCAGAAAGCTTTCCAACTCCAGCTTGCCCCTGTATCCCCCACCCCAGCTCCCGAAACGCATGCCTGCACACCCAGGCCCACGCTTCAGTGGGGCCTCAGGGACCGGCTGACGCCCGCCAGCCCCTACCTCTTGCCTACCAGGAGGCCGAGGTGAGGGGGGCCACAGCTGTTGCAGCTGACGATGGCCCCAACCCCAGGGCTGCAGCTGTCGTGGACACCAGGGAGGGCCAGGGGGGATTTGCACCACACGCCAGCCGTCTGTGAAACTGGAGCCAGGCACGCGGCCGAACTGACCCCAAGCTCCCTGGGGAGACCCCCCCTACACTCCCCTCAGCCCCTCACCTTGGAAGACTCCTCCCGCAGGGCTGAGTAGCGGCGGTGCAATCCCGGGGGCACGTGGGAGAACCGCACGTCCGCCGCGCTGCCCACGTGTGACCTTGAGTGGGGTGGGGAGGAGAGACGAGCCCTGAGGACTGGGAGCCCCAGCTCACACCCACTGTGCCCAAACTGGTAAGGGAGCTTCAGCTTGGAGAAGTCTTAGCAGGACCTAGAGCTGTCGCAAAAGTCTGAAGGGTGGCCATGTAGCGAGACGTTAGGGTTATTCTCAGGTGCGCCAGGGGTCAGAAGGACCCACTTCTAGGGAGCAGCTTTCCGTTTAACACAAGAAGGATTTGGAGTTGGTTTGGTGGCTGTGAAAAAGCTGAGCCCTTCTGAAGAGTATTCAGTGGAATTGAGACCCCCTGGCCATCTGACAAGAATGGTGCGGCTCTGAGAGGGGTATGGGGGTGACTTGTGAAGGCCCCCCTAATTCTGAGGGACTTGGTTCCTTGCTCATCTTCCCAGCAACCTTCCTTGGCCTCTCCCCATTGCCTAGACTGTGCATCTGCCCCAAACTCAACCCAGACAAATGATCTGTAGGAAACTCCAGTGTCCAGACACTGTCAGCGACGTGTGCTACAGAAACCACTGGTCACCCCAAAGGCCATCTCAACTCTGAGATGTCAGGAGCTCTGGAGTATCTGGAAGGCTCCCCTGGTGACACCTCTCCCCTCCCCAGGAGGATACCTTGAAGGAGCCCAGAGCGAAGGGGTAGATATGAAATCCACATGGATTACACAAGGTGGCTGGAGGGAGAGGGCATTTTCTGCTTATCCCCCTTTTCTCCCCTGCAGCTCAGTCTCAACTCCACGATGGGGCCAGTGCTCTGCAGTCAAAGTCAACATTCCCCAACCATCAAGGAAAGCAAGCAGAGGCAAAAGCTTGAGAGGCTTTGGGCCATGTCTTATTAGTTAGGGGTTTGGTCTCTGCTGCACGACCTACAGGAAAGAAGAAGTAGGAGGCACCCCAATTACTGTTTTCTGCTCCATTCCCTGATTCTCTCCATATAATAATCCCTGAGGGACTTGAAGATGGTACTTAAGTCTCTCATGCCCCAGACAGCCACAGGCTTCTCTTCAAGTGCATCGTCCCTTTGGTAATTCGAGCCCTACCTCTCCATGTACACATTTCCTCTCTTCATGGCAGCTGATCCCCACTTCCCTGGTATAGCAAGAGCACAGCCAAAGGGCTCAAGGATTCGGATCTAAGAGACTTTGGTTTGGAGAGAAAACAGCCAGGACCATGGACCTGGAGCCACATCACCCACTTCAGTCTCCCAGGTCTTCACCTGCCTCTCCGGGCACAGAACTGAGGGCTGGCTCCAGGTCTGAGTTCAATGCCAGTTGCTTCTTCGCAAATGTGTAGAAAAAGATCCAAGAACCTCCCTTACAAAGTGGACCTAATTTGAGCACTAGCTAGAAAGCGCTGCTCACCATCTCTTAAAATGTTTTCAGGAGAAAGGAGATCTCAACTTTATGAGTGGTATGGCAATTCAGCCTCCAACAGTCAGGAAGTTTCTGGGGTCTCCTTTCAGTCTCTTCTGCTGCATTCCTGCTTGCGGCCTATTTCCCAAACCTAGGTGGCCCTCGATTCTCACACAGCGATGCTTCAGAGCTCTAAAGACAGTGTCTCAAAAGAACTAGAGTGAAGTAGATGCTCTCCTGGGCCTCTCCTGCCCCTGGGACACGAGTGAGCATCTAACTCAGCAGACCCCTCTCCAGGGCACACCGTCTGTCAAGGAAGTGGACCCTGGCCTGTGTCCCACAGCGCTGGAGAAGGAGCAGCCTCTGTTTTGCATGCCCCTTAGCTTCCCTCAGGGGATAGCTGCTCCCTTCTAACCTGCCCAAGTGAGCTGAGGGACTCTGACCAAGTTATCCAAGCCTCAGTGTCCCACCCTGAACAGGAGCAGGACCCCAAGGTCCAGGCCATCTTTGGTGGGAGGAAGTTTCCTACCTCAGGGTCCATCCAGACCCCGTCCCAGCACCTAGCCTCCCGCGCTCCAGTACCTGGAGTGGACGCCATCCACAAACGGCCCCCCTCGACCCTTCAGCTGGTCCACCTCTTGGCGCAGCTTCTCAATCTCTTCAGACAGGCGGCCCTGTGCCAGGCAGACCCAGGGTGGGGGTGGGGGCCAAGGAGGGGCAGAGAGGGGAGAGAGGGACAAAGAGGACAGCAGAGTTGGGGAGAAGCAGAAGAACACACTGCAAAGTCCAAAGCCAGGGGCCCAAGGCCAGGCCCACTGACGGCATCAAAAGAGAAGCAGTCCAAGGGGAAAGTGAGCAGAAGGGTCTGCGGGGGGCAGGCAGAGGGGCAGAGCCAGGAGAGGGGTCTGTGGGGAAGGACTCTACGGGAACAGGCCTGCGGAGCCCTCACCACCACACAAGTGCATGGCAAAGGAGGCGTGGCCCCCCGGAATCCTGTAGAGCCCTTCGCTGGGCTCTGCCTGTCTGATGCCCACCTATGCCCTGTGCCCTGGCTCTGGATCTCTTTACATGTGGCTGGAGACACATCTGCTGTGACGCTCTAGTGAGGATGAGTGAAATAACGTATGTTGGGGATTAACAAATGGGCTGCGCAGTGCTGGGGCTCAGAGCTGCTGCGTGAGAAACAGGCGTGTTCCTTGCTCACAGCAAGCCCAGCCCTCCCAGGATGGCTGTGCAGGCCGCAGCTGGGTACCTTGTGATGATGCTGCTCCTCAATCTGCCGCTGGGAGCTCTCCAGTTCCTGGATCAAGGTGTTCTAGGGGAGAAGGGCTGTGAGCCATGGCCCTTGCCTGGCTCCTCAAGTCCCGCTCGACCCCCACCCTGACCCCGCTGTCATAATGACCTTCAAATCTGTCCATTTAGCCCCATCTCCCCAACCCTGCCCACGCTCCAGGCCCACTACCTTCTCCCTATCCAGCACCTTCCCTCCATGCTCCACCCACCTCTCACCCGCCCCGCCCTTCCTGCAGCCCCGCCCACCAAGCAGCCCCGCCCACCCAGTGCCCAGCACCTTCTCCTCCAGGGCGGCCATGCGCTCTTTGAGGTGGAGCTGCAGGCGCTCGTTAGACTCGCTAAGCAGTCGGTCAACGGTGTCTGACAGCCGCTTATTGTGGTCCTCGTTCATCTTCTCCCGCTGGCGCACCTGCACAGCCAGCCCACCTCGCACCAGGTGCCCAGGACCCTCTTACAGCACCTCTGGGCGGAGGGTCTACCCCACTCGCCTGTCCCCTTGTCTCGTCCTCCCAGAAACCCTCTCTCCAGTGCGTTGACCGCCCCCTCCAGCACCTCAGTGTCAGCCCCTGGCCAGGCCCCGCCCCTGTCCCACTCCTGCATCCCCCCTCCCCTCCTCGCAGACCTCTTGGGACAGAGCCCTTAGGGTAGGGAGGGGGCCCTGGAGCCCAGCCCAGTGCCCTCACCCTGGCGAGCTCCTGGTTCTTCTCCTCCAGCTGCCCCTCCAGCTGCCGCAGGTGCTCCTCAATGTTGCCATGCCGCTCTTCAGCCTGGGGGCAGGGCTGGTCAGTACAGGCCTGCCCTCCTGCCAGGCCTTGCATACCAGCCACCCTGGGGTCAGGGTGCTCTCTGGGGACCAGGGCCTCGGGTAGCAATGAAGCCCAGCCCTCCACCTGTCATCTCGGAGCAGAATTGTCATCATCACTGACTTTCTTCCCAAGCACCCTGACCCCTGCCAAGTTTTCCCTGAGCTCCCTTCTTCCTGTTAAGGGCCTGGCCTAAAACATCCCAGTGCCAGCGAATCAAGACACTCTAAATTCTCCCCCATGATTCCAGAAAAAACTCCCTTTGAAAGCATAAGCTACCATGAATCTCATCTGTGCTGGACCTGATGGACCAGCACTAAGATGGACCCAAGCATGGCTGCCTGGGTTCATATCCCAGCCCCCTTCTTCCCAGCTGTGTGACCCTTGGCAGTTTACTCAACTGCAAATTGTGGATAAAAACAGCACCTAGAGGGCCTCCCCTGGTAGCGCAAGCGGTTGAGCACCGGGCTGTGAAACTATCCGCAGCCTCTGCAGCACAAGTTCGATTCCTGCTGGCCAGTGAGGGTCCCACATGGCGCAGCAGAACTCTCCTGTCGTGCCCACTGCTCCCCTCAGCAGTGTATTTCGTCAGTCTGCCTGTTCTGTTCCCCACTCTGTCTCTGATGAATCCTCTCACCCTCCCATGCATCTGGCCTGTACCCTGGTTCTTGCATAAATAAATAAATAAATAAATCTTTAAAAAAAAAAAAAAAAAAACAGCACCTAGACCCACTGAACCACTGCAGGGAGACGACCCACAGTGAACACAGGATCCAACAGGCACACAACAAATGTCATTACTGGCCAGGTAGAGGGGTCTCCCTTTTGTTAATAGATCTCCAGGGATGGAGACCCTATTGTTTCTGCTGTCAGAATATTCCAAACCATCACAGGTCTGACAGTCAGGAACCCCTCCTATAGCACCCCCACCATGATTCACTTGAATGTATTCATTATTTCATCTTGGCAGACACTAGGGCTGACTGCTTGGCACCCCACACAACATGCTCTGCTGCTCTTTAGACCCAGCCCTTCATTCCCAGCCTGGGGAGACCTTGGAGACCCCTGGGCCAGCCTCAGCATTACAGAGATAGCAACAGAAGCCCAATTTGGAAGAGAAGGACCTTTCCCAGGTCAGAGCCTCCAGCGAGAGAAGCAGACGTGGCCCTGGGTCCACCAAGGAACAGGCTGGCTAGAGCTTCCATCCCCAGGGCCCCAAGCTGCTACAGTGACAGGCTATCCAGCCCTGTTCCCCGAAGGCTCCAGGCCTCCTGCTTGCTAAATACTGGCTTCCTGGTCTCCATGGTTGGGGTGGGGAAGGGAGGTGGCTATAATAAACCTACATGAGGTGCCCAAAAGGGAAGCTGTAAACTCCCCTAATTCTCTTGATCCATTCACCATATTTCCATTTTCATGCATTTTCCTAGTTCTTCCAGAATTAACTGTTTTCAGTCTGTCCATCTCTTAGGAATTATTACTCCATGAAGCTAACTATCCATTGGGTAAAATCCTAATTCTAAAGATGTAGGCTTCCAGTGAGCAAGGGTGGTTCCCACATCTAGAATGCTTCAGTTTGATCAAGAAAGATACATTCTGCCTAAATTCCCACCCCCATCCCTTCAGAGTAGATGAACTTTGATCATATCTCCTCTCGGATTTCATCGTTTCAGAGATGAAAGTTCTACTTTTCCACTCTTGATTTTAGCAAAAGGCAGTATTAACCACAACGGTGAGAGTGATCACCAAATACTTTGCATCAAGAGAGTCTTCTGCCTCTCAAAGCACCTTTACACCCTTTCTTAAGGACCTGTCACATCCCTGTGGGGTGATGAGGGCAGGGATTACTCCTCCAGCAGAGTCACAACACAGTGTGCTTCCTGGAGTCACACAGTGAGAAGTGGCTTTCTGGCTCCCAGCCCAGCAATCCTCCCACTCTCTACTCACTGCCGACTGCACAGAGCTGGGGGCAGGGTGGGGCCGGGGGACAGGGCGGATCGCTGTTCCCCTAGCCCTCTTGCCTTGGTGAGGGCTGCAATCCTTTGGGCCAGCTCGGCCTCCACCTCGGGCAGTGTCTCCGCTTTGCGCATCGTCTGCTGCAGCTTCTGCTCTGCCACCTCCAGCAACTCCTGTAGGTGTCGGGCCTTCTCCTCACACTAGCAAGGTGGGGAGTAGGGGAGGAGAGTGGAGAGGGAGCACTGAGGCCTGGCCCACCTCCACCAGCCCCAATAGAGAGCAGGTGACAGGCCAAAGCAGCAAGGGACAACCTGGGTACCAGGCTGCTAGAGACCTTCCTTTTGCCCAAGTGACCTGCAGGATCCCCTGGGGCTCCTGGACACCAAAGGAAGACTCTGGTCTGGTCATCAGGCTCGCCCTACCCCCAGGTGACAGTTACCTGGCGGTGCAAGGACTCCTTATTGGCCAGCTCATTCTCCAGTTTGTCATTGAGGTCATGGATGGAGGTGGCCTCACGCTGAGCAGCCAGGTAGCGCTTCTCCAGGGTGGTGATACGCTCCTCCATGTCCTCCTTCTGGGCCAGAGCCTGGGTGGGGGAGGAGGGGGCGGGAAGGAAGGTCACCAGCACCTCCCTGCCCACCGGCTGCACCTCCCCAACACCTCGCTGGCTGTATCCCCTGCACAATGCCCTTTGACCTCTGACCTTGACCACTCTTCCCACCACTCCTCCCCTCATTGGATCCCTCCCCAGCCTTGGTGTGACCCTCCCTCCACCCAAGCATCTAAGCAGCACCCCACAGGTGCCCAAGGCCCACATCTGGCGAGCCGGGGACAGGACAGGCCCTGGCTCACCTCCCGGAGGTCCCTCTGGTGCTTGCTGCTCAGCTCCTCTGACTTGATGAGGTCCCGGCGGGCCGTGCCCAGGTCCTCCTCGAGCTCAGCCACGGCTGCTGTCAGGGTGACCAGTCGCTCCCGGGTCTGGCTCAACTCGAAGTTCTGCTTCTCCAGCAGCTCCTGCAGCTCCTCCACCCGGCCAACATCATCCTCCAGGGACAGTGTGTCACCAGTCAGCCACCAGCGCCCAGGGCACCAACTCCTCTGCCCCAGGCGGGCACTGGGGGACAGCACCCCCAGAGCCATCATCGTGCCTGGGGTCAGGGTGCACCTCCAGGCATGCTGGCCTGCCTCAGGGCCCCAGGCACGATGCCCAAACACCTCTGCTCGTCTGTATATCTCTTGAAAAACAATAGTCTCTGGTGTCTCAGCCTCATAACCCAGAAAGGGGCATGACTGGGGGAACAAAACCGCAGAGAGAGAAGGTCTTGCCTGAAGCAGGGAGATGGCACCTGACAATTCAAGTACATTATGTGCCTAGCAGTGCACTAGGAACTATAACAAAAATCTACAGATTTTCTTTTTTTGCAGATAGGGTAGGGGAAAGCAAGAAGGTGAAGTGGGGATTTTGGAGAAAGCTCTACATTTAATTCAAGCAGTTACCCTACTGAACTAAGGCAGGACAGGATCTGTCTGGGGGATACATGCACCCCATATGCAGCCCCCCATGACTCACCTTCCACAGGCGTTTCGGGCCTAGCTCCACCGCCCCCTCCTCTTCTGCCATTCCGTCCCGAACCCCTGCCCCCTGCTGTAGGGCAGACACCTGTAGGCAGAGTCCCCAGGGCAGTGAGTCCAAGGAAAGAGAATTCCTATATATTCCTGACCCTGCTGAGTCTCCCACCTCCAGGGAACCTTGGCTAACAGTATCCAGCCAAGAGAGGGGGTGGTGTCTGCTGAGGGACAAAGGGGTAAAGCAGTCTTGGCTCCCAGGAGCTGCTTACCTGCTGGTGGGCCCCTGCCAGTTGCTCTTCCAAAGTGGTAACTCGCTCCAGGGCTGCCCGGAGTCGCTCTCGCACCTGCCCAAGGTGAGGGAAGATGGAGGACAAAACAGGGACCCCACTGGATTCAGGCGGAGAAGCCTGGGCTGGGTCCCCACTGGTGGTCACGAGGCAAAGAGAAGGATCTGCCAGGAGGCACGTTTTTGAAAGGGAACTTAACAGAACACCTGGGAACCAGCCAGTGGCCGGAGGGAGCCAGTCGGGAAGCTAGAAGGAGGCTTTTCCCTAGACACAGGATGCAGAACTTGCAGAGACACACATGGCGGATGCCCACAAAGCCTGGCTGGCCGTGGGGAGGGCCAGATGGTAGGTCAGGCTGGTACCTTCTCATCCAGGGCCTTGTGGTGCTCAAATAGCGACTTGAGGGCCTTCAGCACCTCCACCTCACTGGAGACCCCGGAGGGGGACTGGGCCTGGCGCTTCACCACAGTCATGCGCAGTGACCGCTCGTGGCGGGACACCAGGCACTCCAGGTGTTCCAGAAGCAACTGGCAGGAAGCAGGGAAGGCAAGAGAGGGAGGGTGGTGAGCACGTGCCCAGAAGCCGAATGGACCACACGATGGCCAAGCAGACAAGAGCACAGCCACGCAAACTCCTGTTCAACAGCAAAATGCTTCCATGGTGGTAAGCAGCCACGGCCCCAGATGAGCACAGCCTGAGTCCTGAGCCCCGGCTCTGCCTCTCTCCCAGGACCCTGACCTTCCTATGACCCCCAACGGCAGGTGAAGCCCAGCACTGGGGGTTGAAGGATGTGCCGCCCCTGGGACATCAGGCAGAAAGAAGTAAGGAAGAGGCGGCGGGGGGTGGGGGGGTTGCCAGCCTGGCGATGCCTGCTCCCCAGATCAAGGGTTTCAGCCCCATACACATACCAGGTCACCCCAGGTCACCCCTGCTTACCCTTGTGTTATTCCGCTCTGCTTTCAGCTCTGATATCTCTTCCTCCCGCTCTAGAAGCTGCTCCCGACACATGCTCAGCTCCCGGGTTAAGGTGGCAAATTCCTGAAAACCCCAAGTCCCCTCAGTGCTTGGGGATTCACCCCCTAAGCTGTGTCCTACATGCCCAAATCAGTGGTGGACACTCTCACGCATCCCTACTACCACCACCTGCCCCCAGAAAAATCCCTCTCCATCCACACAACAGGGCGGTGAACCCACAGCGGGCTGTGCTTCTGGCGGGAGGGCGGGGGGGGGGGGCATCTCTGGGTCCTCGTGCATTGCAGAACTGCGTGGGGTGCAAGGGAGTAGGTGGGGTACAAGGGAATGACTTGGACTTGAAGGGGAGCAGTCGTGAGTGCGCGGCAGTCAACAAGCATTTTGCATTTGTTTCCCCCATAATTCGATGCCCTTTCCCTTTAGAACCCGAGGGCAGTTCCCTGCCCTGGGCTGGGCTGGTCCAGAGACCAGTGGCTCTTAGAGGAGGAGGAAAGGAGACTCTCCTGCCTGTGCAAGCTGCAGGTGGCGGGTGAAAGGCGGACTGACAGATGTACCTAGTGGGAGCTACAGAGTCCGCAGACCTGCCCAGTGGGCCATGGGGTTCAGCTATGGCTTCTGGGGGCCCTGAACACTCAGTCCAGAGCGGCTTCCAGTTCCTGATGCCAGGGCACTTGCCTGCTTTCCCAAATAGCCTGCTCAGAGGATCCCTCCTGCCCCTCCACCCCAGGTCTGGACACCCTAAAAGACCTGCCCAGCCCGCCACCTCCTCAGAACTAGCACAGTAGGGAGAGGCTGGCCACACAGCTGTAAGCCCCGTGCACCCTGTTTGTTTAGTGAAGCATCACCTTGTTCCAAAAGGGTTTTCAGATGAGTGGGCCAAGCTCTGTGGACATGTGGGGTCTGGGACGGAATGGTGGCACAGCCCTCCCTAACAGGAGTTTCCCTCACACACCAAGGCTTCTCGACTGAAGGGAGCAATTCCGAAGTCATCCCCTCTTATCACCCCTGCTCAGACAAAGATGGCAGGGAATATTGGGGGGAGGGGAAGCAGAGATGCCAGAGTCTGAGAAGCCATGGACCTCCTGATTACTGCTTTGGTATCGAGGCCATGGCCAAAGGCAGTTAGGCATTTTATACCCTAGAAGGCCAGGCCTGGCTCAGTCCTGCTGCACTCCAAAGCTTACACACACACACATACGGGCCCAGGCATGAATCGATGGCTCACCCCAGCCCATGCCAGGGCACCACCACCACGGGCCAGTTTGCTCCCCTCTCCTGCCCTCACTCTTAGTTGCTGCCACGTTTCCCCACCCCAGGATGCCTCCCCAATTCTGGCCCATCTGATACCTTGCTGCCAGGGGGCTCTCCCAAACCACAGTTCTGCCAACAATGTGAAATACAAACTTCTCATCCTGGGTTTCTCACCCTGAGACCTAATCCACCAGGGAACCAATGAGCCCTCCTACCACCACACCTTTGCTCCCCACCTGGAAAGCCCTGTCACAATGATGAAATCACATGTACCTTTCAAAGGACATGCCTCCTTGGGTGTGGCCAGAGCCCCCAGTGGAATGCTCTCTCCCTCTGAATACCTTTCTTTCTGTGGTTAGCAACTCCAGGGCCCACCAGCCAACCTCCAATCCCATGAGCACCGACCATGCACCAGGTCCCATGCCAGTCAAAAGGCACAATGCCCACCCTCACAAAGCCCCCAGTGCAGGCCTGGTACCACACCTTAGCTCTGCAGGGTCGTTGTGTGACCTCAGACAAGTTCTGAAACCCCTGTGCCTCGACTCTCTGCACTGTAACATGGGGTAGAGGCCTCCCTTGAGTGTCGTATGAGGATGAAACCAGGAGACATATGGACAGCACTGGGCCCATGCCCATGCCAGGCAGCTACGTTTATGGCCAATGCCGTCTAACAACCCCGTGGGCCCTCTCATCCTCCTCCAGGTTCTCATCCAGTCATCAGGTCTGTGGCTTACTCCTTTCTAGTCTCTGAGCTCCTGGGCACAGGAAGCCACTTGTTCACACCAGGGCTTGTTCAGGGCCTCATGCGCTATGGAAGACAAGCCGCTCTCCTGCTCCAACTTCATCATATACATATTGATGAAGCATCACAAGAATCTGCCCCTCCCCCCGACTATCACTCCTGGACCCCCCTTCTTATCGCCACACATAGGCCAAGGGCCTGGGGCTGAGCCTGGAGCTGCCTCAATCCTCAGGGCTGCCTCCCTCACCCAGCAGCTCCCCTGTTGGGTGGCCACTCGCAATTTCCTAATCTCCAACTTCAGTCTCATCCTCTGTAATGATAATGAAACTCTAATTTTCTCCTTCATAGAGATGATGGTCACAACAGTGCTGACTTCATAGCTGTAAGAATGCAGTGAGCTACTAAGTGCTTATTACACAGAAATAAGCAGTGACTAGCATTGCCCACAGTAGTGGACTGACAAGCTCAAGGCAGGTGTAGGATGCCTGGTTTCCAGATTTAGCTCCGCCTATAAATTCCTGTGTGGCTTTCTTGTTTCTCTCATCTGTGCAGCAAGACAGGGGGATTAGATGATCTCCCCTCTCTACTCTGAGTCCCACTGGCCACCTCCTAGATCTGGGTGTGCAGCCGCCAGCACAGAGGGGTCTTTCCAGTCTAGGGTGCCACCTGCTGGCTGAATGGGCTCACTGCAGCCGGGTACTGTGGCTGGATTTTCTTCCTGCATCAAATTCCATCCATTTCTCCAGGTCAAGCCAGCTCCAGGCTGAGGAGCTTGGGAGTGGCAGGGAAAGGATTTGTGTAGGGAGATGACGGGAAGTAAAAGCTCTGTGAATGCCATTTTTGATATGCAAACAGGTGCAGATGAGCCGAGGGCCCAGAGGATGCTGGGTTCAGCAGGGCTGCTGGAGGGATGGGGTGGGGGAGGCGCCAGTCTTACCTGGGGAAGGGCGGAGTTCAGGTGGCGCTGGAGCTGGTCCCGCTCATGCAGGGCATCCTGGAGCCGGCTCTGCGTGGCTGCCAAGGTTTCCTGACTCTCCCGAAGAGACTCTAGCAACTTCTCCCGCTCATCCAGCATGTTCACCATCAGCTGCTCAAAGTTGGCATCAGCATCGGCACCATGGGGGGGCCCTAAGGGGTCCCCCTCGTTGATTGTGGGCATCACCTCACACATGGTGGAGGTGGGCAGGACCTTCTCAGAGTCAGGGGACCAGGGAGGGGTTCACAGGGTTGGCACCTCCAGGGGGACCCAGGGCATGGGCCTCAGAGTGGGCAGTGCCAGGCAAGTGGACGGATGGGCAGGGGTTTCTCCCATGGCAATAGTGACTCTTGTTCTAAAAGGGGCCTGGTGCCTGGAGTGCCACTGTAGAATGGAGCCAGAGGGCCTGGCTTAACCTCACAGGGCTGGAACCAGGCGCCCTCTGTCCCCAGACGAGCGGGCAGCAGCCAAGTGTGGCCATGACAGGCAGGGAGAGCAGGGCTGGAGGAGCCTCTGGACGGAGCGTCGGAGCCTGGCAGAGTCCCAGCTGGGGCTAGCGACACCCATGGTTTCTGAAGAGCAGTGGTCTGTGGGTGAAGAGACTGCTGTGAGACCAGCTGAGTGGAGAAGGGCATCCAGGGGAGGGGCAAGGGGAGGAGGCAGGACCTGGACCAGGAGGCGGGGGAGGAGAGGGCAGTGTTGGTATACACCCCTCCTTGGACTTACTCAGCTGGGGCGGGCCTGAGTCCTCCCGGGGAGCCCACCTGCCCGCTGCCGTGGCCTCTGCCTCCCACTCCCCGCCTGTCAGAAGTGCCGCCGCAGTAGAGTGGTTCCCCACCCACGTGGCTAACTGGCCAAATATAGAAATGATTCAGTCAGTGGCAGGGGAGCAGCAGGCAGGCTGCCCAGAGTCCTCCTGAGGCCGGGGGTGGGAGAGTGGGAGGAGAGGAAATCGGGTGTCTGGCCCCTCCTCCCCAACATTCAGATCGAGGTGAGCACAGAAGGGGTTCAAGGGCTTTTAGTAGGTATGGGGCCCACGCCAGGTAGACTCCGCTGGCATGGCAGGGGCTGGGCACTGGAGTGGGCAGAGCCCTGCCTGCTCTAGGTCATGGTTCAGAGAAGAGGCTCTGGCCCGAGTGGCCCCCCACTCCTGAAACCTGGCACCTGCAGGCTTCCATTCTGAATTCACAGCCTGCCACCTCCGGGTTGGGGCAGGCACTGAGTGATGCAGATGAGCCAGGGTCAGGTGGCGCAGGGCTGTGGCATGGGTGGCCTGCTCCTGGCTGGGAATCATCGCCCTCCATGTAATTGCCCATGAGTGGCACTGCCAGCCATCACTAACCAGGGCAGTTAGCATGTGCTCAGCCTGGCATGGGGAAGTCCAGTGGTCAGAACAAAGGAAGGTGTAACAGGACAGGCAACACGCAGCTGGGGGTTCTCTGGCTCCCACAGGCTTCCAACCTCCGTGCCCATTCCTGGAAGGCCCCACCTCGGTCAGTCTTCAGAGGGCAATGTCTTCAGAGCTCTGTGGCCTGGCATGGAGGGGAAGCACCACACAGGGATGGGCACACGATGCTCCCTAAATACTACCTGCCTGCCTTTCCCCCTCGCATCCGGGAGACATAGAGGCAGCTTCTTCTGTACCCTTTAAGTGGCAGATAAAGCAACAGGCAGACTGGGAGGGTCAGCGTGGACAGGAGGCACTGGGATCCTGCGTGGGGTAAGAGGTCAGACATGGGGTGGCCCCACTCTTCCTCCCCTCGCCACCGGACTCCCAGCCTATGGCAGGGCTGACCTTGGTGGGGGAACCAGAGAAAGGCCAAGTCCTTGGCACATGAACCCAGTGGTCCTCCCCAGCCCACAGCCCTGATGATCCAGGAGATGGGGAGGGGGCAGAGAGCAAGCCTGCGGAAGAGTGTGGGCTTGGATCAGATAACAGGGCACCAGCTTGACAGTTCCAGAGTTCACACCCACAGTCATTCCCAGAAGGCCCAATAGTTCAAGAAGGCAGGTGTGTGCACACACGCATGTGTGCACACCTGCACGTGCTCAAGCACAGAGGCAAGCATGGGAACACGAAGGCCTGGCACATACACCCATGTGGCCATAGACATGCTCCCAAACACAGAAACTGAACTCAGACTCTGATCCTGGGGCTTCTGCCCCCCACACTGGACAGCCTATGGTTGGGAGGCTACAGAGGTGAAAAGTAGCAGCCTGCTGGGTACCATACCTGCCCCTAGCACCATTGCTGCCGAGCAGCCCACGCCACCACCCCACTCTGCCCCACAAAGCAGCTGGGAGCAGAGGGAGGGGCTGCTACCCCAGTCTAGCCTTCTCGCTGCTGCTAATAACAGCAATTCCGTGGGTTCTGCAACCCGCTGTCCCCAGGCCCCTCCACCCTGAATGCTCCAAGCCATGAGGTCAGAACCCACGTGGCCCCACCATAATCTCAGAACTCATCAACACCCAGGCCCTCATCCCCTCCCGCTATCCCCACCCTGCCCCGCGAGAAGAGAGAGCAGACAAGATGGCCAAACTGGTGCACAGAAGACACTGTCCTTTGGAGCAGAGATAGTGTGTCCTGGGAACGGCCTCAGCCAGCAGGCCCCAGGCAGCCTGCAACATAGTATATAGAAGCCCGGAACTAGCTCCGAGGAGACCAGCTGGGTGACCTTGGGCTTGTGAGTGCCTGCTGAGGCCTCTGCTATAAGATGGGGCAAGCGACCCATTTTGCCACCTTAGGGGGATGCAATTGTAGATAAATACCTTGGAAAAGCAGAAAGCATCCTCCCCCTGCAGGGGATTGAATTACCTCAGTGGAGGGCAAAGGCAGGTGGGGTATTTCAAGTTCCTAACAGGAAAAAGGCTGAGAAGAAGCCTGCTGTGAGGTGCCAGCTATTTGGTCCAACTTGGCCTCCCCAAGTTTTCCGGGTCCTTCTGGCAACTGAGAATTGGCTTTAGCACCACCAGCTCCTTCCCAGCCTCCTTCCAAACCAGGTGGCAGGTAGCAAGTGTGCTTCCCGCAGTAAGAAGTGCCCGCCCCACCCCCCACCCCGGCTCCCTCCCCCCCCCACCAGAGCAGGCTGAAGATGCCTGTACCCCACCCCCACCTGCCTACACAGACGGAATGAGCAGGGTGGGGGGGCTCCAGGACAACCAGGCGGGACACCTGGCTCCTTCTGACTCCAGGGCCTTCTTTAAATAGTGCAATTATCATCATCTCAGCCTAACAGAAGCCTCCTCAACTCCTGCACTATTTCTAAGTAACACTCACAGGTCCTGATTCAGAGGCGAAAGCTACCAGCCCCCAAAGCAAGTGGTTGCGAGGGGCTTTGCCGGTAAGGAGTGTGGGCAGGTTGTGAAGCAACAGAACAGGCCTTGAGAGCCAAGCAGGCTGGGGGCGAAGGGGGAGCCCAGGCCTCTGCTGTTGTGAATACAGAAGGGGCAAACTCTGAGGCCTCTTTGGCTCCCCAAAAGTCACCCCCATCTTTTCCTAACAAACAGGAGGGGTGGGTACTCGGGTTTAAGACTCTGGCTGGCCACGTACCCACAGGCGGCCTCCCTGCTGCCTGACCAGATGGTGGGCCCTGTGGTGGGGAGCTCGCTGGTGAGGACCAAGCTGCTGCCCCAAGGAGGCCAGAGGGCCAGGCCGAAAGCTAGGCAAAGAGGGAAGCTGAGGGGGGCCCTTCCAGAGAGAAGAGATGAGAAAGGAACCGATCTTACTGGTGGAAGGGGATGCGCCGAGGAGATCGGGAGGGAGTTGGACACGCAGGATGTAATAATATCTGACATGACAGCACCAGGACCTACTCCGTATTTACCACAGGCCAGGTGCAGTGTCGGGGGCCAGGTATTGACTTTAATTCTCACAGTTCCTGGCAAGGAAGATGTAACTATTTTTCCCATTCCACAAATGTGAGGACTGGGACTCCAAGTCACGTAACCAAGTCTCCCAGCCAGGCAGGGAATGACTGGGATTCAGTTCCAGTCTGTGTGACTCCAAAGGGGGGCGGGAAGGGGGGAGAAGAGGGAGAGCGTACGTGATGCCTCCAGACACCACATCTACTCCCAGGGCCCAGGCACCTGGGCCGTGGCCTTCTCGCCCTCATCCAGGGCAAGGTGGCCTGAGGACAACTCAGCTCGGCCTCCTTTCAGTGCCTCCTTGGCCTGGAGGACAGCTTCTGCCCGGCAACCACCCTGGTCTCAGGCGGCCAGTGCCCCGTTGGGAGTGATCCATCCACCACCCACCCAAACCCCCAACCTGCCAGCTGGCTCCATACTGAGCCAGTTCCCCGAGTGCCCACCCACACCACACTCCCTCAGCACCCTCACCTGTGGAGCCTCCAGGAACTCTCAGACCAGTGGAATGAAGTACAGCTGCCCATCCCCTCTCAGGCTGCCCACATCTCCTTCCCTCTAACCCTTCACCTCCTTGTCTCCCTGTCCAGCTCACCACCCCCAGAGGCTTGAGCTCACTCATCCTTCCCTCCAAAAGCCCAGCTGAGCCTCTCCGACCCTTGCCTGTCAGGCTCCCAGAGCCCACCAATGGCCCCTGAGTTTCTGCCACCTCACCCGGCCTGCCTGCCTCCTTTCCATGCCAGTCTAGGGGACTTCTGATCACCCTCTCAAGCTCACTCAAACAGGCTCCCCTAGAGCCTTTCTGATTCCCCCTCCCCCACAATAGGTAAGACCAGCCCTTCCACAGCCCCAGCTCAGCCTCGGCACATCCCACCTGAAGACTGCAGGTAAGAACTACATTCTAGCATCCTTAGAGGCGATGGCACATCCAGGGAACTTAACCAATATGTGTGGCAGGGTCACACACGGGGCAGTCTGTCCCTGACCCCCCTAAGGAGGGGGCTCTCCAAAATAGATGAGGAAACAGGACCCCTCAGACAGCAAGCTGCACACTCAAAGCGCTGAGCTCAGGCCCAACAGGCACTGGGGGCGGCCTGACCCCTGAAGCTCCCTGGGCCCACTCTAAGTTCAATAAGAAAACCACAAATCCCGACTAGCTCCCGGAAGCCATTCTCAGAGCAAAATCTCCTGGAAAAGCTCTACTTACAGTTTCTCACAAATCCCTCCTTCAAGAGCATCCAGTACCCTGGGCCCTGAAAGGCCAGCAACGAGACTTTCTCCCTGGGCTTCAAGTTCCCAAATTTGCAAGAAGAAAGTCATAACACACTCTAGAGATCACACCGCTTGGCATGAGGGGCAAGGCCATAGAGACACAAAGGTGTCCTGAGAAGTCTAGAATGCTCCCACACAGGGACCTTGGCCAGCCAGGCACCCAACTTCCTAGGGTGAACATATGCAAGTGGACATAGGTGGAGTCCCTTTCACCCAGCATGCTCCCCGACCTGAAGCCCATCTCCAGTTGCTCCCCTGGAGTTAGTTACAAGCTACTTCTTCCCAAGACCTATCACTTGGGTTAACATACAACTTAGCGTCTGATCCAGGATCCCCCTCTGTGAACAGAGGCTCCTAACAAGCCCCCGAGGTGTGAGGGGAGGCCGTCGCAGCACGCCTAGCCATGTGTCCAACCTCCCCATCACCACCCCAGGAGGACTGACATTAAAGGCCA